AAAGAGAGTAGAACCCCATACTAGACAGTTGCAGACAGAATCTTCTGTCAGAAAGCAATTGATGGAGTTCAAAGCTAGGACTACAGCAAGAGAAAGAAAGGCTGACTGAGGGCCTGGGGAGACTTCCCTGATGTTAAGTCTAAGTGAGGGAACCTGTGGAATCTACTTGTTGAGAATTTCAGACCAAGAACCAGGGGAGTAGGGAATCCTGCCTGGAGGAAGAGGGAGGAGACTACCCAACCTTGAAGCGGCTGATGAGGTTATGTCGAGTCAGCAACTCAAAAACAATGGTCCTCAGGGCGTGGTCATCTGCTGCCCGGTTCAAGGAAAAGACGTCAAAGCACCAGAGGTCCAGGTTCTGTGGAGAAACAATGGACTCTGGGAGGCAGGAAGCTCCCAAAGAGAGTTGCTCAGCAGTAGCAAGGGTAGAAGTTCGACTTCAAGGACTTCCCAAGACAGCCCCATAGACTTGTGGTTAAGGGAGCTGGATCCCACATGGCTAACCAAAATTCAAGTCTCTGCCCCAGCAGCTTGAAAAACATACTGGGTGTGTGTGTGTGCGGGTACACACACACACTCACGTGCCCCAAATCCCAGGAGGATAGAGAATAGAGAAGAGCATAGAAGACTATGCTCCATTGGAAGGTGCTTTCTCCCCCTTTATCTCTGTCTCACTGTTTCTGTCTCTTTCTCTGACCAGTCCATGTACCCTCTGGCAATTAGGAAAAAAAATTAAGGACTTTCTAATCATTACAGAGACTTGAGAAGCAGGTAAACAAAGAGGTGGTAATTGGGTCTCTATCTTCCCAAATAGCTCTCAGTATGAGCGAGATGAAAAGGCAGGGCTTTGCCTCTAAAGTGGGCAAAGGCTAGGGACCAGCAGTTGGCGTAATGGCTATATCGCTGGACTCCCATGTAGTCGACCACGGTTCGTGTCCCAGACCCGGTGGCTTAAAGTGGGCAAAGGCTATTTTGAGGAACATGGGAACATCAGTTAAAAAATAAAAGTAAAAATTACACCATAAACCACCTGGAGATCCCAATGCTACTCCATTCCCCAACCTTCTCCTCTTTCCCCAAAACCCAGGAATCACCTTGAGACAATTGAGGACTGCAGTGGAATGGGTGGGACCCACAGAGGTGTATGTTCTCCGGAACATCCTAAGAAAGATTAGTGAAAGTAAGTCTAAGTCAAAGGTCTGGCCAGGTGTGGCTACAGGGTGAGCCAGAGGCATGTGGGATCATAAGACAGGTGAGGTGATGGAAGACAAGGGTGGCTGGAAAGGAGAGATACTGCTAGAGCAGAGGGAGGTCAAGTGTGGGCAAATCTCACCGTTCCACGAAGATCCCAGCCTGCACAGCATGCACAATGCTTCGGAACTTGGGCTTTTCCTCTGCTCGGCGGCCTTTGGCCCGGGCCTGCTGGGTGAAGGTGGAGGCCAGCCAGTCCCGCACCTCCGAAGGCACGGCGTCTGACCGCAGCTCCTGAAGCTCATCTTCAGTGTCCAAGATTTGCCTGAGACCCCAGAAGGGGAGTCACAGAGGAAAGATGGCAGGTGCTTCTACAGACAAGTGCCCTGTACCTAGCCACACCCTACACTTCGTAATTCTCATGCCAACTCTCTCAACCTCTTTCGCCAACCCTCTTTCTTTCTTTTGCTCTATCTCTTTATTTCTGCAACTCTATTTAATGTCTCCAAGAATGCAGCAGGTCACCGCTACAGGAAGTGACATCCCAACTACAGCAGTGTTGAAGCAGGCAGTGGAATGCCATCTGTCAGGGATGCTACAGAGCAGCACTGTCCAACAGGAATACAATGCAAGTTGCCTATATGAAATTTTAAATTCTCTAGTAGCCACATTAGAAAGGTAAAGACAGACAAAATTCATTTTAATGATAAATTTTATTTTAAACAATACCTCCAAATATTATCTTTTCAACATGAGGTCAATATAAAATATATCCATGTGACAGTGTACATACTTTTTTCTAAGTCTTTGAAATCCAGTGTGTATTTTACAACTCAATTCCTACCTGCCGTGTTTCAAGCACTGTAATCAGTAGCTCCCATAGATGGGCAGCTCAGGTCTCTATGTATTCCACACTGAGAAAGTTAGGACTAAGCTGAGCTTTAAGGTCCCTTCTGACTCTGAAAAAGTCGAATCCCTCTCCTTCCTGGTGTCTGTTTGTTGTTCTCTCTGCATCTCTTTGCCTAGTCCTCTGCCTCTGTATCTCTGCCAATATTTCTATCCGCAGCTCTTTATAACTGCCCTGCCTTTTCTTTCTTCCTGTCTCTGTCCCTGTCACACATCCATCTCTATGTTGAGGGAACCTTACTCCTCTCTCTGAAACTCAGTGTCTATCTGATATCTTTCTCCTTGTGTTTTTGCAGACCTCTCACCGTGTCTCATCTATATAGACAGCCTCCAGCAGAGAAGCTGTGTACTCCAGGTTTTTCTTCAGCTCCTCAATGTTCACCTCTCCATTCTCCAACTGCTTCACCATGTAGCGCAGCCTGTAGGGGGCAAGGACAGATATATATCCTGCTTGTCACCTTGTCACGAGAACAGGCTACCCTCCAATAGGATACATTTTACAGAAACACTCTCAGTCTTTTGTAAATAGTTAATAATTCTAGCATTTATAATAACAGCAGTTAATATTTTTCATTTCCAGGGACCAGCAGTTAGCGTAATGGCTATGTTGCTGGACTCCCATGTGGTTCAAGTCTGGACCCAGTGGCTTAAACTCACGCCGGGCGCGTGTGCGTGCACGCCCAGGATCCTGAGAGGAGAATGGAGGAGAAGGGATTGCGGCATAGCCATCCCCTCTGGTGGGTGATTTTTCACTTTCTGTCTCTCTCTCTGTGTGTCTCTCTGCCGAGTGCATGCACCCTGTAGCAAAAACCTCTCCAAAAAAAATAATTTTTTCATTTCCAGCTAGTGCCATAACCTATATCAAGTGTTTTCATCCCTGAAGTTTAACCCCAGGGTTGCTTGACTCCACCATCCATAGCCATCATCCTCTCAACACCTCCCCTTTAGTTAGTGTTTCCTGTATGCTCTTGTTTAAGAGCAAAATTAGGTGGGTACACGCCCCTGGGATGATGTTTTGAGAAGGATCCATTTCATAGTCTGAATAACTAAGAGCAGAAACTGCTTATTCTCCTACTGTCCCCCTCTGACATTGGGGTTAGCAGCAATCAAAATAGCCCCCAAGATTCTTTCCTGTCTCTTGGTCCTGGGTAAGAAGGGTCCATGCCCACAGCCCCTCTGTCACTGGCAAGGGTAGTAAAGACACAGAACAAAGACTCATCTGAATGCTTTCCCCTGGCCTCACTCCATGAAGGCAGAGCTAATGGATTATGATTCCAGAATCCATCAACCAGGACAAAGCAGGATTAACCCCTGCCTCCCCAGTCTTGCACTAGAGAGAACCATACCCAGCCTCTGGGACTGCCTCTGTCCCAGCTGAAGCTTCCCTCCCCACCAGAGCAAAAGAAGTGGGGTCTGACTCACTAGATGCTTACCTGAGGGTCAATCTCCTCCTGTCTTGTACTTATCAATTCTGGGGCTTGGTAATTAACTAGGAGGCCTCTTAGAAGTCTGCCAAGTCCAGCTCAGGCATTTATAAAACAAAACTCCCTGCCTTTAGATGTGATTTTAAAGAAAGCAGTTAAACATCCCCCTCCCTCTAGTTCTTTTCTCAAGCCCTGCTCTACCCCATCTAAAATCAAGTGGGGATGAGGAGAGATGAAATGATGACCATCACAATTCCCCACTGAGAGGGGCTTCAAAAGCCCAGGGTCACCCTATGAGTCAGGGAAGAAAAGAGTGAGTCAGGGACCAGAGGCTGAAATTAGCATCCGTTCCCAGGGATGCCAGGGGATTTTTTTTTGAACAATGGCAGTCCTGAACAGAAGTGGCCTTAGAATCCTAGGGTCTCAGCAGCTTTGGAATAGGGGTGCTCAAAATAGCCAGCCCCAGGAAGCGTCACAGGCCAACTCTCACCTCAGGGCCCAGCAGTCCTGACCGACACATCTGAAAACAAATGGGGCAGAAGGGAAAGGCACAGAAATGAGAGAGTAAAGAAGTTAGAGGACGGTACTGAAATCTCCTCGTGAGCTGTCTTCAGATCTCACTTTCAGCTTCCTGCTGCTCTGTCTCCAGGTAGAAACAGGGTTGTTTAACAAGCAAGAGGATTTTAGTAAAGCTCGGGCCCAGCTCAGGCCCAGTTCAGGCTTCGTTAGGGGGGAAGACTAGAAGCTAGATGTCATAAAAGATTTTCCCAGCCAAATAAGCTAGAGTCTCTGAAGTAGTAAGTATTTCCCAGACAACTGACCCAGAGATTACAGAACAAAGGCGTGTGCTCTGCCCTTAGGCACAGACACAAGCAGGGGCCTCCCTTTCCTGGACCGCCGATGGCCAGGGGCTCTCAAGTCTGGAGTCATACAACCCAAAAAATAATGAAAGGCCTCTTCTATTGCCTATAAGCCCATCACGCCCTCAGATTCCCACCCCAGCCCTAACCTTCCAGTTGCTTCAGTTCTTTTCACAATCCAAAACTCTGCCTCCAGGGGTCAATGCCTACCGCCAAAGTTATCCAGTTTTTCCTCAACCCACCTCTTGAAACACACATCTCAGCACAGCTCCCAAAGTGAACAGCCACACCCACGGGTGCTCATTTGCATGTATTCGCATAATCACTAACAATGGTGCCAGCTCTACCCTTTAAAAGCTTTCTCCTACATTATCTCATTTTATCCTCACAATGGGCCTACGAGGGAGGGAGTTAGGGAAGGAACTGTTATCTCCAATTTAATGCAGAAATCAAGGCTAAGGAGGCAGCTCAAGCAAGGGCCTGGGAGGCAAGAATTCTGTATTCAAAGCTATTATTTCCTGCTGTAAACTCTTGGGCAAATCACTAAATCAGTCTTTATCAAAATGTGGCCTGTCAAACGCCAGCATCAGAATCACCTTGGATACATATTAAAGATACAGATTCCAGGGACCAGCAGATGGTGTAATGGTTACATTGCTGGACTTCCATATAATCAACTGCAGGTTCAAGTTCTGGACCCAGTGACTTAAAACTCAATCCAGACACATGTGCGTGCATGCCCAAAATCCTGAGAGGAGAATGGAGGAGAAGTGATTGCAGCATGGCCATCCCCCTGCAGGGTGATTTCTCACTTTCAGTGTCTCTATCTCTCTTTCTCTCCAGTAAACACACATATCCTATAGCAAAAAAAAAATCTCTCTTAAAAGAAATGCATAATATATAGAGCGAGCGAGACATTCCAGGGATCAGACAGTGGCACAGCAGTAACTCAATGCTCTGCAAGACCAAACTCACATGAGAAGATTGCAAGTTCACTTCCAGAAACCTCCCTGTACATAGTGAGCAAGCACGTGCATATACCTGCGATCTGATCTGACAGAGCCTAGAGTGGATTACAGCATGAGGCCCCTGTTGGGAATGTGTGTGTGTGTGTGTGTGTGTGTGTGTGTGTGTGTGTGTGTTTGAAGAAATAAACAAACTTAAATATATATTTCTATACCTCTGCTCCTCCCCAAGGTCTCACTCCACACCTGTTGAACCAAAATTTCTAACAGTATGGTTCGGGGAATCTGCATTTTTAAGAGGCTTTTGCCTTAGGCAAATGTGCTTGCCAGAGAGCAAATAAGAGAGAGAGAGACAGACAGAGGGACAAACAGACTAAGTGACAGGGAAAGTGAGAAATCACCCACAACGGGGGGATGGTCACACCACAATCTCTTGTCTTCTAGTCTCCTTCTGGGATTTTGGCCACACACACACACACACACGCGCGCGCCTGGCATGATTTTCAAGCCACCAGGCCTGGGATTCAAACCACAGTCAGTCATGTGGGAGTCCAGTGACATATCCACTATGCCATCTGCTGGCCCTGGGAATCTGCACTTTTAATGAACACCCCAGATGAATCTAATTCATGCTACAGTTTGAGAGCCTTTATTTTAAAGCCCTGATGTCCTCATCTGTAACCAGTAGGGATGATAATACGCCAGCCTTACACGGCTATTAGTTGGATTAAATGACAATATATGTAAAAGGGCTAGCAAATAAAAAGGATTTCCATAATGTGATGCGACTAGGAATTAACCAGCAGCATCACTACTGACCCCATCTAAGTCACACCACACTCCTTTGAAAGGCAACAAGTGCCAGCCACTCTATCCCAAGACCAGGCAGAGAAGAGCGAGTTTAATTTGGATGGAGGAAGCCGTCTAAGAGAAGAAATGGTCTTTTACATAAAAAAGAAAAAAGAAAGCAAAGCGATCTCTATCCATTACAGTTACAAACCTAGGGGCCAGCAAGTGGCACAGTGGTTAAAACTGAATTTCCACACGGCTGGCCATAATTCAAGTTTCAGATGGGACATCTTTCTTTCTCACTTTTTTTTTTCTCTTCTTCTTTTGGGGAGAGGTTTTTGCTATAGGGTGCGAGCGCCTGCCAGAAGGACAGAGAGACAGAAAGATAGAAATCGAGAAATCGGTCCCCCAGGGGGGATGGCCATGCCGCAATCCCTTCTCTTCCATTCTCCTCTCAGGATCTTGGGCACGCACGCACACGCGCCCAGCATGAGTTCAAGCTGCCAGGTCTGGGATTCCACCTGCAATTAACCACATGGGAGTCCAACAATGTAACCATCACTCCATCTGCTGGTCCCTCGCTTTTCCTCTCTCTTTCTCTCATGAGCACATGTGTCCAACAGCAAATTTTTAAAATAGTAATAAAATTAAATCATTCTTTTTTAAAAAAATTACAAACCTGGGACCAGCAGTTAGCATAATGGCTATGTCGCTGGACTCCCACGTAGTCGACCGTGGTTCAAGGCCTGGACCCAGCAGCTTAAACTTACGCCGGGCGCGTGTGCGTGTGTGCCCAAGATCCCGAGAGGAGAATGGAGAAGAAGGGATTGCAGCATGGCCATCCCCCCTGGGGGGGGATTTCTCGCTTTCTGTCTCTATGTCTCTCTCTGTCTGTCTGGCGAGCGCACACGCCCTATAGCGAAAACCTCCCCCCCCCAAAAAAAAAAATTACAAACCTTACTTGACCCTCACAAGTACCTTACAAGGAAGGTTAAGGTGACTTGTCCAGGCCACATACTTGGCTATCTCAGTCGGTTGGCAAGGCCTACAACTCTAATGGTACCTACCTGTGTTCCCAAATGACAAAGGTGTTAGGGTAAAACAAGTCCAATCGTGTACTTAACTTGGAGAGAGGCCAGAACCCATTCCCATTCCACCACGGCTTCTTCAGAGTCAGTCAATCCAACCTCAACGGTTAGTATCGGTCAGTCCATAGGAGATAGTGTGTCTCGATGACACTGCAGCCACTGGTTTATCTTGGCCTCCATACTCAAAACACAGTACATGCTCAGAAAATATTCATTAAATAAATAAAACGGAAAGGAGGAAGATTAATCGGGTGTGAGGCTGTCTCCCAGAGCTCACAACTGAGATTTCTCAG